GGTACTTTAATATAAAATTATGTTTGACTTTTATTTTAATCCTAAATATAAGATCCCAATCCACTGTATCTTATATTTATATTTTTTTTTTTCAAAATAGCCCTTCTAACATAATAGTTTTAGTCAATACACTTGATTAGCAAGGATATTTAGGAAAGACAATACTTATTTATGACAAATAATTAACTTAACTTACTTTCTAATCTTCTCAAATTAGTCAAATGGCTCTTATAATTAGGACCGAAAGTAGTATATCATTAACTAATTTTCAGAATTCTCCAAATTTCACCGCTTCCAAATTTGGTTATATCCATCAGCAGTAGCATAGTAACCCACATAACTACCCTTCCAACTAATCTCATCAGCAGAAGCAAAGAGGGAAAAAAGAGAGTCCTCAAAATTTCCTCCCCCACGTTGCTATGACATAACATCTTGATAAGCCCGCTATTCCAGCATGTTGCAGTTATGGATTCCCTACTGACGAGGAAGTCAAAGGGCGAACACCCTGCATAGGTCACCGTTGGTGGTTAAAGAGGTTGCTTTGAGAACTGTATGCACTTGTCCGGTTTAGATTATCTAGTCTTTTGTACATAATATGTCTCTCCAACGTGGCAATTGAAGAAATCCTTGAATTAAAACTCCCTCTTCTATGGAAGATAGGCACTTGGGTTGAAGAGCTTGGCTCACCAATAAACGCTAATTTCTTTGATATTATTTATAAGACACCTCCAGTATATTTCACACATACCAAATAAACCTTAAAATGCATAACTTTTCATTAAAATATAACAATTTTTTAACTTTACTTATATTTAATATATGCACATTTCAAAAGAGATAACTTCCTACACTATAATAAATGAAAGACAAAATAGTACATTTATGCTGAAAATTTAATAAAGCAACTTATAAATAGGAAAAAAAACCCTTCTCTATCTGTCTTATAAATAAGACCAGAGGAGTTTTTGCAATTATTAGTTTCCAAATATTTTTTGCTACGGAGCAGTATTAAAATCTCTGTTTTTTTGATACCTAAACCACTAATGATTTATTTTATAACAAAAATTTGGGTAAACTAGTTTCTGAGAGCCTATAAGGGCCAGAATATGCGTTGAGGTTCAAAGAGTAGTTATAGAGATATTTACAGATTACTCACAAAAAATATCTTTAAAATTTACAATGAGATACAAACTCATGACTTTATAAATTATGAACCTACTCATTTACCTAACCAAACCAACTCATATTGGCAAACAACCGAATGATTTGACCTAGCAGATTTTATCCTTAAGACAACAAGTACATTTTCTTTGACCCATCCATATACTCCAAGAGGAGCAAGCAATCTTCATATCAATTTTTTGGAAAAAGACATAAGAAGAAAACTTAATGCAAGTAAGAGGGCACACTAACACTAAAAGATATAACAGGTTCAATAAGCGTTAATCTACCAGCTTGAGGAGAGTTTAGCATGCCACACTTGCAATTTCTTCTCAAGCTTTTCCAATATTATATCATTATAAAGCTTGGCCTTATCCTTCCTTAATCTACGTAAGTGCCTCGATATTTTTCAAGTTTATTTGGGAATTTGAATGCCAAAATATCTACTAATTGTGTTTTCCAGGCTTGCTTATAATGAGACTAAAATCATTATAGACTTAACTTGATTCACAAGAAGACACTTCACCTTTGTCGTCATTAATTTTTATCGATTTATCATTTTTATATTTTAACATCATTTATTTTTGTTTGATTTCTTAATTATTTTTGTCTTCAGTAAATATTTCATTTACTGAAATTTGAAATGAATTAAAAAATCATATGAAGTTTTTATTTAAAAGGACACTTCTATTTCTTAATTCGCTATCGGAGAATGCTTTTATTTGCAAAGAGCTAAGGGAATGAAGAAATCTTTGAAGAACTAAATTAAAAGTAATTCTATGAAAAATATAATTTTTTTTCAGTTAGGATTTGAGAAAATAATTTTAAGATAAATTATTTTTAAGAGACAAAAAATTGAGTTTTACGTTCAAAAACAAAGTTAATAATATTTATTTCAAAAAAAAAAATCTTGTTGACCTTAATGTCCTCCTACAACTTCACCTTCCCTTCCCTTGCACATAAAGCCTTCAAAAGCTGCAAAAGTCTCCCCTCCTTCTCGATAGCGATTCTCTCTCTCAAAAACTCCCTCTCTCTATCTCTCGTCTCTCTTTTCTCTCTCTGTTCGTTGAGTCTCTGAAACAAATGATAAGGATTTGAAAAGGGCATGAGCATTGCAGAGAATGTCGTTGCCTTTCCATTTATCCTCAATTTGTTTTGTGAGGTCCACTCTTACTGTTTTCTACTGCCCTTTTTTTAATTGAATTTCTCAGTTTCTACCTTAAAAGATCCTAACACGAGGAAATAGGGCTTGATTTTTCTCATATCAGGCCGTCCCACTCTCAGAATTGTGCATCTTTATATTTTATATATAGAGAGAGAGACACACACCCGCCATTTTATTGTGTGATCATAAATATACGGATTTCACAGTCGTCTTCTCCTTGTTCTCATTCTTCCTGTCGTTTGTCCCTTGTCCTATCCCTTACTTTCAACGACCTATCTTTCTCTCCCTTTGTATTTAATCCAAGTAATTGCTAATGAAGCTGGAGCACAAGGACGAGGGGATTGCCGATGCAGGCATGAAGAGGTATAGGAATGGTGAGATTTGGGATTTCGAGTACGAAATGCCGTTGGCGGATGGTGCCTCCGGCGTCGTTCTGGGTTTGGATGGTGGCACCACCTCCACAGTTTGTATTTGCATGCCCATAACTCCTTTTTCACACCCTCAAATTGAATCTCTTCCCATCCTTGCTCGGGCTGTTGCCGGTTGCTCTAACCACAATAGCGTGGGAGGTGATTCTCTGTTTTTTCTTGTACAAATCCTGCATTTGTTTTCTCTTTGTGGGGTTAATTTTATGATATTTTTGTTTTGTGAACATCTTTCTCTGGGATTGTTGGTTTGTTCGTTAACTCCTGATCATTTGCACTTGTTCCTTGTTGGGGAGACAAAAAAGGCCACTTGCGTAGCTTGGACATACATTGTAGAAAGGAGGGTGCCTTTGATTTCGATAATTTTTTAGAAAGGTGATTTCTTCTAGTGAAGAGCGTAATTATATTTTTGACAATAGTCAACAACGAGACGGATGGAAAACTTGATGTCTAATCTTGGAAATTGCTTAGGAAATCTACTATTTTTCTTCACCTCTTTTCCTTTTCTTCATACACGCACATGAAGTGAAAAAGGAAACTTCTCATTTTCTGACTCCACGGCTTGGATTTCTTTTACTCATTTACTTGCTCCAAGGTCAAACATTAGGCTTAAAATGTTTCATCATCAAACGCCTTTTGGTCACTCTAATTTGTAAGTTTATTGCATATTTGAATAACTCCCTGGCGTCCATTTACTTCGACAGATTAAGTTTTCCACGAAGACCAAGGCTTCTCTTTGATTTGGGGCACCGAATGAAATTTGCAAATAATAATAACAATAAATGCCACTGTACAAATAAGGAGCGTAAAAATAACTACCTTCCCCTATCTTGCTTCTTTCGTAGAATATTTTGAATTTTTCTTTGGGGCTGAGGGGCTACAATAGATGATCGGTGTATATCGCTGAAGATTTTTGCGGGAATATTTTTTGACTCACATTCATGGTTTTGAGTGGACGCAAGAGGATGAAATTTTGGGAAGATGAGCGAATTTTGTAGTATTATGGTAATCTAAGATTATTAGCATCTGTAATATTAGATTCTTCCTCTTCATTTAATTTGGTATAAGATTGTCTATTCGGCATTCTTTAGTAGTCTGGTAATGGGGTTTTTAGATCCCACCCCTTTCCATTTTCATTTTCATCTCCATATTACATTTTCTCTTGAGAGGATTTCTTATGTACTTATGGTACTTTTGGATTGTTCTTCTTGAGCTCTTTATAGAGGTATAACTGTGATAATAGAATGGAGATAACGTTGTAAAAGTAGTAATGCTGTTACAATTATTTACTTACACAGAAACTGCTGCAAGGGAAACATTAGAGCAAGTTATGGCAGATGCACTTTCAAAGTGTGGCTCAAAACGATCTTCAGTCCGAGCTGTTTGCTTGGCTGTTTCTGGTGTTAACCATCCAACAGATCAGCAGAGAATTCTCACTTGGCTAAGGTTGCTACATGTAATTTTGCTTATTTTCTCCTTAACTCCTCGAAGAAAGTAAATGATCTTTTGTTCATTTTATGTTTTCATATCATGTTGGTGGTGCATTAAATTTCTTTTCCAGTGAAGCCCTTATCCTCTTTATTGTGGAAAATATGTGGTTAATTCTTGTGATTTTCAAGTCTGATTTATATAAAACAGAATTCTTATTATTCTCTCTCTATTCAGTATAGGCTGACTACTGAGCCAGTGCTGCCATAAATAACTATCACATGTAGCAATGAAGATGTTTTAAATGCGGAGTGATAATAAACAATATATGCTTTGTGTAAGTTATATTGAATAATACTGCATATCATTTCTACAGCGTTGTAATCAGTCTGGGTATGAAACTAGCCCATGATGGTATAAGGCAGCTTCTTCGCCTATAACACCAGTTAAATTTCAACTTTTTTGTGTATTCTGCTGGTGTAACTTTTAAAATTGTTTTTTCATGTGTAGTGCCATATTAGTTTCTTTATTCTCTAACAAACATGAGTAAGGCTGAATCTCTTAATTTCAATGTGCTTTGGCGTTGATATTTCAGAGATATATTCCCAAGCCATGTGAGGCTCTATGTTCAGAATGATGCTGTGGCTGCTTTGGCAAGTGGGACAATGGGCAAACTTCATGGGTGTGTATTAATAGCTGGGACAGGGACCATTGCATATGGATTTACCGAAGATGGCAAAGAAGCAAGGGCTGCAGGTGCAGGACCTGTCTTAGGTGACTGGGGCAGGTAATTCACTGGTGCTGCTTCTATGTCTCTCATGGCTGCTCTCTCTGCATTCATTTGAATGAATATGTTGAAAGTGTAATGAAAGTAAATACTCAATTATGTATTTTATGTGTATAGTTCAATGTATATATATCTTATGTTCTTCTATGCCTTTTAGGTACTGATAAATCTTTCTAGCATGTTATATCTTTCTCACGAGTATAACTGCTTCCAATGACCATTCATTAAGAGGAAAACAACGGGCCCCTCATGAACTATCCTTTTTGATCGAAGACATGACAAATTTCAGTTGTCCCCAGCAACAGTTTATTGTTGAAGAACTCTTTATATATATATATATATATATGTATATGTTCTTTTTTGGTCCAAGGAAGTTAGCTTTTGTTGGGGAAGGAAAAAAGAGATGTAGCACTGTAATACGTAGATAGGGAACTCAATTAGCTGAAAAAAGGTTCCCTGCACGTAAAGTTGACTGACCTTACTTTACTAATTAGATTTTTTTCTATCACCTCACATCACTTCTATGATATGCTCTTTTAATACCATCTAACGTTTTGGTTGATATTTTTTTTCCTTATAGTGGATATGGAATAGCTGCACAGGCATTAACCGCTGTAATCAAGGCATATGATGGCCGTGGTCCAAGTACAATGCTAACAAGTAGTATTTTACAAAAACTCGGACTTTCTTCTCCTGAAGAAATTATCGGGTATATATTTCAGTTATATACTTACTCATATCATAAATTGTGTGCAGTAAATAGCTGGCACTTAGAAATCTTGTCTGAAGCCATCTTATTATGTGCAGCTAGTGAATGAAAATGATGAGGTCTGTTCTATAATTCCAAAAGTTTGGTATCCATTACCCCCTTTCCTATTCATCATACAATAGATACAAGTTTTTGGATTTTCTGTCTGCCTGGAACAAGTCTGAGATAGACATACTTTCTGTGACATGATTTAGTAATTGTTTCAAACTGAGTTCCTAGGTCATTTCTGTTTGATGTGATGAAATGATGAACATTTATATGATTTTGAAATGGATTTTAAGTTATTTTGAAAATGCAATTGTACTGTTACTGTCTTGCATTGATGTAATTTAGAACGTCTGAAATGATCAGCATCCCACCCCAAAAAAAGAGGCAACATGGTGGGAATGCTTGGAAACCTCTGTTAAGTGGAAACTTGAGAGAGTGAATTGAAGATATCTATAGAGAATTGGTTTGTTAACTAACACTCCAAAGCAAAAGCTCAAGCTGTTAAATGCTAAAGTTAGAGCCTGGAATAATGTTATTATAATTTCTTACATGCCTCATCGCAAAGAAGCCCTTGGGGATCTAAGTGCGGATAAAGCACAGGCCTATTAAATGGGAGTTGGCAATGATTGAACTGTGGAGGCTCTAGTACTGTGTCAATGATCACTGTGACTCAAAAACTGAACTTGTTCTTATTGTTAAGGGAAGGCCTAGAGATAGTTTAATTACAATTTCTTGCACTACTTTATATATATTTGAGGAGTATGCAGGGTCACAACCTTTATTTGTCTCATTGGAAATCAGGTGGACCTATGCAGATCCCTCCTGGGCTCGTATTGCAGCACTTGTCCCTGTTGTGGTGTCCTGTGCAGAGGCTGGAGATGAGGTCACAAATAAGATCCTGCTGGGCTCTGTCCAAGAGCTGGCTTCAAGTGTGAAAGCCGTTGTAGAGAGACTTGGATTATGTGGCGAAGGTCCGGTGATTTTCTGATTAGTCTTATTACTAGTAGTTGACATCTATGCTCATCATGATATTAATGTTAGATGTTCCTGGAGATAAAGGAAAAACTAGTCAAAGTAAGCTATAGAACTAATTTTTAAATACTCAATTAGTTAACTTTGGTGATTTAAAGTTCTCCTCAGGTTATTATCTAACCTGAAGAGCTGATTTGGTTTATAATTATTTGTGTATATGCGGGTGTCCATGAGTTCAGTATATAAAGTTGCAGAATGACATACGATTTTTATTATTCGTTATGTCATCTATAGAATTATAAGATACCGGTTGCTTTGCTATCTGGCTGCTGAAAGCTCATGCACCTAGTTGCCTTGTGTGCTGATTTTAGTAACTTGCATTTTCTCCTTTCTTTTTTTAAAAAAAATAATTAAAAAAAAAGGAAATAATCTTGGACTCCAGCTGGTGTTTCATGGAGTTGTGTTAACAAGGAACTTCTTTTTAACAATCCCTTTTTTTTTTTTTGGGGGGGGGAGGGGGTTGGGGATGTTCTTGTTGGAAGTTGGAACCCGAAATTGCTTGAATATCTACAGTACAGATGCGTCTTCTCTTTTATAAAAATATTATTATAGGTAGTTTGGTGTCTTGTGATTATCATCATTCAACACGGTTTGCTGGGATTTTTGAAGGCTAGGGATTTTTTTTTTCTGGTGATGCATCCGTGTTTTTCTATTTTGAGATCTGTTGGAAACTTGTTAACTGTTCAAGAATGAATCTTCCAATTAAGTGGAAGTTACGAAGGATAAAGTGCAATTGGGATTGCTATCAAATTCATCTATCGTTCAGGGTTTATAATAACCTAGGAGTCTCATAGTTATTATTCATCATCATTATCTTCCAATAAATTTGCAATTGTCATTATCTTCCAGTAAGTTGCTGTTCTGTTGGAGAATTGTTTTTCACATTCAGATTTATCCAGTCTAGTACGAATAATGAAGATCGAGGGAGCTTCAATGATAGAGTGTACACCTAAAAGTGAGAGAGACTTCCCATTTACCACTCCTTTTGCTTTAACCTCCCATTCAATAAACACAAGGATTCATTGGCAAAACATATATATTTCATAAGGATATATTAGTAAAGTCTCCCAAATTTTGTCAATCTCTGACCAGAAAACTATTTTATTGAATCTAAAATGGATATAGCATAGACCTTAAAATGTTTAACTGAGACTTCTATTGATTATATATTATACACGTAGCCAGCAGGTAGTTCTTTTGAGGACGGAACTGCTAGCCTATGCTGTGTCAATGCTAAGGTTGATTATATTTGGTTGTAAAATATGAATAATCCACCTAGGTCCTAGCTCTGCCTGTTAGGAGTATAATGCATGATTTGTGAATGTCAAAAGTGATGCTAATGTATTGCTAATAGTTTCTTCTTCATTTTTTTCCTTTTTCCTTTTTTTTTTTTTTGGTGGCAGATGGAAAGGGTGTTTTTCCCCTTGTTATGGTTGGTGGTGTTCTTGAAGCAAATAGGCGGTGGGATATAGGAAAAGAAGTCATAAAATGCATCTCTAAGCACTTTCCCGGGGTACAGTCCATTAGACCTCAGGTCAGCTTAATGTTCTATTTTCTTGTTTATCTTAATTAATGCACCAAGGGAAAATCGCATGGTGGGTAAACATATTGGGAAATGGGTGCATAAAAATCAGATCTTGTTTCCAGGTAATTTACATGGTTTGACATGCTCCTTTCTTTGCAAGAGAAAGGGTGTTGATTATACTCTTGCATTTTAGTTTAAGTGAGGGATAAAAGCAAAAATCTACCATAAAAGCTGATCAAGCAGGAAACCGGGCATCATGGGTAGGATTTATGTGATGTTAAGAAAGTCGTGGTAAAAGAATTATCACAACATTGTTTGGAAAAAATGATACAACTTGGAAATTCAACTTATGCGCACTTGCAAGCTATATCTTTGAGATAAAGCCAAGAAACTTAGGTCCCGTTTGGTACGAAGTATTGAAAATGAGGGATAGGAACTAAAATTGCAATTAAGAAAAATCATTAAAAAAGTATTTATCATAAGTAATTACTTGTTTCATGGGATTTGGTAAACCTATAGATGTGGGATTGGGGATATCACTTTCTCCCATGATATTCTCCAATTTCACAAACATGGGTTTGTTTAATCTCATGTAACAAGCAATGTTTCATCCTAGATACTCTTTTAACAGGTTTTCTGAATCCCAATTTCAATCCCTACCTCTCATTTCTAATACTTCGTACCAAATGAGATCTTAGTGTTCTTCATTTCTCCACAGTCAGTATATTCAGTGCTCTCTTACCTTTGGAGAATTGCTATGTATAACCATTTCTAATTTCCTTGCACTCGAACTTTTTTCAATCACCATTTCTATTGTGAGTAGTGACTGACCTTTATATTAAAAAATAGCATATTCTAATAAATCTTATCTCTTCCATTCTCACATCCGTCCTTTTAATTTCATGTGCAACACCAGGTTGAGCCTGCAGTTGGTGCAGCGTGGCTAGCGTGGAATTCTTTCATGAAAGAATTTCACAAGGAAATATGCAGAAGCTAACAATGGATGGAATGAATGGAGAAGAGGAAAGAAAACCAAAAAAAAAAAGAAGAAGGTGATGTATGACCACTCAATATTGTTGATTGATGAAGTAGATAACAGTGCCATATTTATGATGAAATAAACCGGCTTTGCAAGTATGTGCGCCTTCCAGTATATGCCTAAGCACCTGTCAGGCTCACTTTTCCTTACTTCCTATCATTGGGTCGAGTAACTTGAAACATTATATGTGATGTAAATACTAAGTACTTATTTGAAATGGAGTAAACGGGTTCGAGTCAGAGTGTGTTTGGGATCACGGTGAGGGCCCTCAAACTAACTTCTCCACCGGTAAAAGCTGAAAAAAGTGACTTCTTGTTTAAAAGAAATGTTTGGATCCACCGTGAAGATAAATGGACTTATGCGGAAATGGACTTTTTTTTCATAAGCTGCTGCCTTCAGCTTCTCCGCTTTCAGCTTTTCCGTCTTCGTGCAGCTTCTCCACTACGCCCTTCGTGGGGCCCATGAGTGAGGGAGTGGAGAGAATACATTATGTGAGTTCTTTTTTTTTTTTTTTCAATCCAGCTAATTAGTTTTTAATATTAAAAAATTATTTTTGAATAATAAAATCATTTTTTAAAAAATAAATTATTTATTCTTTAAAAATAAATATTTTTATTTTTATAATTTTAATTTTAATTTTTCTCTAACAATTATCAAATTATAAATATATAAAATAAATATATATTGTTTAATAAAGTTTATATCCTTTTCAGTCATTTTACATTTAAACTTACTTTTACATTTATCATCCAAACAAGTTTCAACTTCTCAAACTGACTTTTTTCTAAAACCCAATCCAAACATAAATCACATTACCCTATTTGACTTTTACTCAATCTGACTTCTATAAAAGTCAGATTGAAAAAAAGCTACTTCTGCCACCGCTATCCCAAACACACCCTCAGTCGCGGAATAGCTCAAAGTGTTTGTGATGGACTTGCATTGTTTCAGCATCGGGGGCAGGCTTCTTTTTTTTTTTTTTGGTGATTATGATATACTAAAGTGACATTTTATTAGCAGGCTATGCTTAATGCTTGGCAAGGGTGATCCCTGTCGATGCATCGAAGAGCTAGTGACGAGGGTGAAATTGAACGCGGATACTGGATAAAGGTCAAGAGTTTTATAATGCCAAAAGAAAGAAGCTTGAGATGAGCGATGATCAAGTTATAAATCTTATCGAGTAAAATTCATCTGATTTCATTTTTATAAGCTTTATTTGAGTTCAACTAATGCATTTTTTTTTCATTTTTATTCTTAATTAATTACGTGTTCCTTTTCCCTTTTCGTTTTCACTCATTCTTTCATCTCTCTTTCTACCTCATCCTCTCTCCCTCTCATCCTCTCTATATTTTAGGGAAGTTACATTTTTAACATATTATGTTTAATCAATTTTAACCAACTTTTTAAATTACGTTAACTATTTGATGTCTATATTTTTTAACGAAATGCTAAAGATTTAATAATACACTTAAGGTTTTAATAATGTAAGAAAATTACCCCCCAAAACATCGCAATTTGTAATAAAGTATGATCCCAAGCAATCCCATGTAAGCATTTAAAAAAGAATACTTTTTACGTAATTTCCTCCCATAAATTTGTCTCAAATTCTATAAAATTACTTTTAAAAAGCTAATCTAAACACCTCTAAATTAAGAACGCCAAAAGCAGCCCGAATGTGTGAAACTATTTTTGCATTTTAAAAGAAAAGCTAAAGATCGAAAATGTAGCAGAAACACTTCCAGCAAAAGAAATTACTCGAGGGCCGTAAGAAGTATGGCTGAATTACTAATAAGCCAATCTAGTTAACGTTCGGGACCAAAAATGCGTGCCATCAATTTATAACTACCCTGAGAATAAGTTCAGCAACAAGCGTGTATTCTGTATATCCCCAACTCCAAATTTCTAAGTAAATTCTAGAGAAAGGGGAAAAAAAAAAACCAAACAAAAAAGAAGCTTCCAGTCACTCTCTCCAGACTTTAAAAGGAGAAACCTGAAAGGATTCCCTTCCCACACGGTGATTCAAGGCCTCGATAGAGTATGTTACACATATATCATAACATCAATCTCAGCAAGACTCCTTCAAATTTCGATTACAATCTGCCGTATACAATAAGGCCGATAAACTATTTGATCCTCAATTTATTACATAAAATCAACTTTAGTGACATTTTTATTACATGAACTCAGTAACAATAAATTCAGTTACTCATGTTACGAACAACCAAAAAAGCACCACGATAAAAGAGGGTAACGATAAACATGATGATAGTATGACTATTACCAATCAATTAGCTAGCCCATGATAGTTCTCTACTACATGGTAGAAGTTAAATATAAACAGAAGAGCACCCTACCCTTTCGTATATATTTTAATCTGCTCCCATCAACTGCTAGAAGGAATTTAAGTTGAATTACTATACGCCATGAAGTTGCCTCTTCAAAACTTCCAATAAAATTTAGAGGTACTTCATGCAGTAAACCGTGCGAAAAGAAAGATAATGAGCCAAACAAATCCAGAGAGGCTTGCTGGAACTTGTAGGTGACAGCTCCCTTCCTAAACAAATATATGGATGTAACTGGTGATCCCTATGCCATAACCTCATCCATCCTTCGTAATATGTGGGGATAAAGCCAAGATGCCTGAAATTTCAGAGTAAATGAGTGCAATTAAACTGTGCAAGAAGCCAACAATAAGAATTGGAAGAAGGGCACCACTTACCACAAAATCAGAAGAGCCTTCTCCCACTGTCCTGATCATTATTCTGGTCATTCCCAAAAGCACCACTACCTCGAGAATCACCAAAGGCATTCCTTTGGCTTGAATATCTGTCGCCAAATACACTAGATTGACCAGAGCCAAAACCACCAGAACGAGCTGAACCACCAAATCCACTGCCACCACTTGGATGACTAGACCCAAATCCTCCAGTGCTTCCTGCTCGATCCATGCCGGATCTGCCAAAGCCACCATCTGATGGTCTAGAGCCAAAACCACTGTCTGATGGTCTAGAGCCAAAGCCACCAAAGGAACCATAACGACCAGAGCTTTCACCAGAAGAATTACCAAATGATCCCCCAAACCCGCCTCTTGGTTGGCTTGATCCAGGGCCGCTGAAACGACCAGAATTAGGTCCACCATACCTTCCCTTCTCATCAGAATTACCAAAGCTGGAGCGGCTGAATCCCGGACCACGGCCAAAACCTGAATCACCAAATCTACGATCCCGCATGCCTCCAAAACTGCTAGATCGACTACCACCCATGCTATTAAACATGCCTACTGATTGACCTTCAACAGTAATCCTCGGCAGCTGATGAACAAGGATATTAGAACACAAGACAATAAGTTAATGTAAATATATAATCAAAATGTGACCTACAAATTGAAGCATAGAAGAAAAAACTTAAGTTCTGCATGCACAAACAAAAGTCTTTAACAACAGACTCAATCTGACTGCTAATGCATATTCAATACATTAAATTCTAAACAATACTTGTAGCTTTAAGTTATAACCATCTCATAAGCATACTAATATACCCTTTTGTTTTAGATTACAAGGGAGGCACAAGGCCTGGTAAAAGTGGGAAAGGTATGGGGCAAGCATTGAAATCCCGAGCTCTGTGTCCAGAGAAAGTGCCACGTGAATCAATACTTGCATAAAACCAATACCTGTTTGTTTATTACCATCTCCTCCCCCCCCCCCCCAGAAAACAAAAAAAACAATGTTTGTACTACCTGATGGTAAAATTCATCGGAATGAAATATGGAGCTCCCACTTACTGAGCATTAAGTAGAGATTATATGATAGTAGTATTCAGCCTTCACACATTACTCAATTCACAACCAATCCTAAGTTATCATCTCTATAACATCTGCAGAGTTAACATTCCCAAACATCTTATGGCAGGTTTTAAAGCAAGTTCCTGTAAAACCATAAATTCATTCTATGTCTCAGAAATCTTTAAAGCTGAGAAAATTCCTCACCAACCAATCCATCAATACATTTAACAACTTTGAATAGTATATTAGATTTTCAGCAACTTTATTTCATCAAGACTTTGTAATTGGCACTTACTTTTAGAGAAAACGTTAATCACACATTAAATAATGTCCACACATGTTTAATGTCTTCCAGTTTAAATGAGGAATGTCTACAAGGTCCCAACCCCAAGGCTGAACTCCAAGTACTCTAACTTGGAGGTCTTGGGCTCAAATTCTAAGGTGGATAGTCTCTACCTCTCCAAAACCTCGTTTCTTTGCTGCAGTAGTCATGTGGCTTATATTTCAACAGAATCACCCCTCCCCCAAACAGGACAAAGAAGTAAAGGCAGTCATCTAGCTTAAATTTTTGCAGACCAGAAAAAGAATAATAAACTAGGAACAACTTCAAGTAAACAGAATTGAAGAATGGAGATGAAAAGAACGAAGAGAGATCACCTCAGAAAATCTACAGCCAACATCACGCTCAATAATCTTGACAGCCCTGGTTTGATCTTGAGTATAAATAAGGATAGCAGTTCCTTTCTTCCCAGCTCGACCTGTCCTTCCCGATCGATGAACAAATATCTCTGAATTATTGGGAAGATCAAAATGTATTACCTGTGAGGAGCGTCAGTTACAACATGGGTATGTCATTGAGAGGATAACATAAAAGCATTGCATGCAGCATTAACATCCAGGTTATTAAAGGCAGAGAGAAAAAAGATAAAGAAGCTACACATTGAGTGGATAACATAAAAGCATTGCATGCAGCACACAAGCCATTAATATCCCAGTTATGAAGGGCAGAGAGAAAAAGATAAAGAAGCTACGCATTAGTGTGTGTGATTTTCTCTGTCCAAGAGGAAGCTTTACAATAGTAGCTACCAGGAAAAACACAATCAGTTGAAATATGCATATTCATAAATGTCAAATTGCCTACGTGTTTGTGCATTAAACAAAATGAATGGCATGAGTTAAGCATGAAATGTTGACAGCCTCAAAAAAGATAAGCATCATTAACAGTGAAAAAAACAACAAAGAAGCTACATCCCCTCTTCAAATTTGCATCATCATAAAATAAGCCCACAAGATATATGTAAAATAAAATCCAAGTTTATGAATGAATATACTTTCAGAACTTGCAAGATACGTGTTCTTTTCATTTAATGATTTCTTCTGCATCCTGGATGTCTCTAATGCGCACCTCCTAATACTTTCAGAGCAGAAAAAGTACTCCTTTTTAAAGATGATCCATGAGTCTATTAAAAAAACTAATTTACATTGAATCCATCGCAAAATTAATGCAAGTAAAGCACATATGATCCTACTTGATAAATAACAAAACATGCTTGGCAGTTTCTTAATTGAAGGCAACAGTCATCAAGTGTACATATAATAGGAAGTAAGCAGATAAAGTTTATTAGATTCATCACCCTCACAACATCTTGAATAGAAAACACTCCAAACAGGGCACGTCTCCCATCCTATCATTTCTCTAGTCACTAAACGGTTTGGAAAATTTTTCCTGCAATCGGACAGGACCATTTTCAAAGTTGACTTGGCTCTCTTGTTTTTCCAAAAGCCTGCCTCCTCCTCTAAACACCATGCCAAGCACGCAGCCCATATATATTTAACTTTCATATTTTAAGAAGCAAAGTTAAAAATCAAGAGGAAACATCAAATGGAAAATAAAGCATCCAGGGTACCTCAGTCAAAAGGTGAAAGGGATGAGATAACGGAATTAATTAGAACTAAGATAGTAGTACAGAACTCACAAGGTCAACATTCGGTATGTCAAGCCCACGTGAAGCAACATCGGTTGCCACTAAAACACTGAAATGTCCTTCTCTAAAGCCAGAAAGAGTTCTTTCCCTTTGAGCTTGTGAAATATCTCCATGCAAGGCCTCACACCTAAGGCTATTTTGCATGGAATATGCTAGTCTATCAGCATCACGTTTGGTTTGGGTGAAAACAATACACTTTCCTCCATTAGCATGTTCCTATGAAAGGAAAATGTTCAGGACAGACAAAAATTGGGAAATTTAATCATTTAATTCATTTTCTAACTTTTAAACCGGCAGAAATGCTCAGGAAAACTAGAATGCAATCAATTCCAGCAATGATTGAAATGCAATAAAATTAAGAGTTAAAAAAGTTAGATCAAATAAAATAACGACAATGATGATAATCAAATTATAAAGTTGGAAAATAACAGAATCAGGAGTCATACCGTTACTAGAGTTTGAATAATCCCTGCTTTTCCATACATATCTGAAGCAATTGAGTATAACGTAATTCCATCTGCCAACTTCTGATCAGAATCTCCAACCTACAGCACCAACAAGTTCATAATTAACCGACCATAAGAACTAGACAATCATGAATTTTAATCAGCAAACACATAAACATTGTAACTTAAAGTTTCATCAAGAAAGAAGGCACGCGGGCTGAAAGCAACATATGCATGTACGCACAGCATAGCATTCCAGACATTTTATAAATGATATAATAACTCATAAAAACTCGACATCTACATATATGCACAGCATGATATTAAAAACACTTTTTATATAACTTAATAACTCATAAAAACTTATGCCCAAGAACTAACAAGCTACTATGGTTTGTAATGTCCTACAGCTTTAGAGTCTCGAAACTTTACTGGTTACTTTTTATCCCAGGAGAAAAGAAGAGACACAAGGGTCTTGACTCCGGAGGCTAGACAAATTACCAAAGATACAGAAGCAGAAGTGAAGAAAAACACAAACCCAATTAGCTAAATGAACTTAACAAATAGGAATATTCGAAATTATGGAAGTCTTACTCCAGGAGCCAACAACAGAATTGCATACTCACAAGATCAATGGTTAATGGATTATTTAAGTAATTGCGAGAAATCTGCCTTATCCAAGATGGCATTGTTGCTGAGAACATAAGAGTTTGGCGCTTGGGAGGCAGCCTCTCCAAGATTTTTTCAACATCCTCCTGAAAGCCGACTTGAAGCATCTGATCAGCTTCATCAAGTACAACAAACTGAATGTCCTTCAAATTTAGAGCACCTCTGTTAAGAAGATCAATAATTCGACCAGGTGTGCCTACTGCAATATCAACGCCATAGTCAAGCTGCCTCATTTGGCGTGAAATGGGTGTTCCCCCATAAACACAAATTGTATCCAAATTAGGTGCTGACTCGTAAAATTCCTTTTCAACCTGCCGAGCAAGTTCTCTAGTTGGGGCCAAAACCAAAGCAAGAGGATCCCTTCCTCGTCTGCACCGTGAGACACAAAAACATGCATAATTTAAAATTGAATCAAACTCTTCAACCACCCATACCTCAGTAGCCCTGCCTCATACATTGCCTTATCTAACTCAAGCAGAAAAAAAGGAGCACAGAATTGAGAAACAGTAAGAGAAGTTTGATTGAGTGAACCAACCCGTGCTTGGCATTAAACTGAATGATCTTGTCCATGATAGGTATCCCAAAAGCAAGAGTTTTCCCAGTTCCTGTTCTAGCCCGACCAATCATATCACGACCTTGCATGGCAGGTTCCAGAACAGCTCTCTACATATTAAGAAGAGCTTATTAACGATTGTGCCCTGAACTTATTTCCATCAGAAATAGGAGCCGCGATTGATATATAATCTCAACAGAGAAATAATATATTCGGATTAGAACAAATAATTATACAGCTTACTACAGCATACCTCCCAAGTAAATAACATAAAAATGACCGAAATTGTCGCTCGATCCAATGTTTATGCGATTGAAACGTACCTGTATAGGGAAGAGCTTCGTTATACCTTTCTTGGCCAAAGCAGAGACAATATCCTGAGCAATACCGAGCTTCGCTATATCAAGGCCATCATCACTGTTTCCCTTGGGCCCTTCTTCGAAGGAGTAATCATCAACAGCATACTCGGCACGAGGAACCAATGACGCCCGGAAATTCAACGGCCCCGCTTGGGAATGAAATGCGCTTGACTTGAACACACCGGAACCAAACAAGTTGGAGAATGGCCGAAGCTCACTACCAGCAACCCCACCATAGCCGGCGACTGATGAGATGAGGTGATGGTGATTCTCGATCAACGCGGAGGCGGCGAAAGCACGCCTTGAGACTAAAGAATAAGATCTTCTGAAAATTGTACTAATCATAGTAGCCACGGGGATCGAGAGAAGAGAGAGGGAGGGAATGGGATTTGCAGAGATGGTGAAGAGAGAACCCTAGATAAGGGGTTATGGGGTTTATGGGAACAAAGGTGTTGTAGGGTTTATAGTAATGGAGCAGGAAGGAGGGCTGTAAGAACCTCGAGAAACAAAAGGGTTTATGCGGAGAAGATATTTGAGGGGATGATCCTGTGCGTTCATTTCTTGGTGAGCGCATGATGAGCTCGTATAGCTCCCCATGTAGATCTTTTCATTTTAATACTACCTCTTATTCTTAATATAAAACTTAATCACTTAATTTGAAAAGATTAAAAAATTAATTAAATTAGTTATTTCTAATAAATAAGTATTAACTTTTGTAAAATAATCTTATTAATTATGTATATTAACTAGAACCATTTAAGGCTGCATATGAGCAAGGTTAGGCCGATACCCAAGCCAAATGATCAACTTACTATATTTTGAAGCCTACTACCTAGTCCTGCCCGATGAAAGCCAAAGTTATGTAGGATAGAGTTGGGCAGAATGGCCTTCCCTATCTACTTTAATGATGATGCGTTGATATATTGTTCATATTACGTGAAGATTTTCACCAAACCTAATAAATAATATTTTGATTTTTAAATGCATTTTGTAATTTCACAATTTAGGATATTTTAAATGAAGAGATATAAACAATACATTACAAATTCATATATCTATTTATCATTCTATATCTCCTTATAATTATATAATAAAAAACAAGATAATAGGTTTTCAAACAACATCCATAATCAAATATATCAATCATTTAAATCTTGAAATATATAATTCTACCATATATGAATATAAAATGTGTGTGTATATTAAATATAATTATATCTAATGAATATATGTATATTATATATATTAGATATAATTATATATATAAACTTTGGGCAAGGCCAAGTGGGTATGGCAATATATCTTGTTCGATGCCCGGGCTTGCCCAACATTTGGTCCTATTGGAAAATGCCCATTTATTGTTTAAGCTGCTTTTTTTAGTTCTAGACTGGGCATATTTCGCAAGGCTCAGGTGAGCATTGCGAGCCTTTGGGCCTCATGAACACCCTCAACTATCATTTGATAGAAGTTTTAATATGTGCAAATCACAAGGACTATTTTGAAAAAAAATAAATAAATATGAAAGACAAAATATACTGAGGTCTTATATTTAAGATCAAATTAAAATTTAAACAAGCTTTTATATTAAGAAAAGTAGTATTTCATAATAGCCGGGGGGAATAATGACAATACATTTGGATATGTCAAGTGCATCATGGAGCAGTCTTATATGTATATTTCATACCCCCAAAAAAAAATCAGTTTGTTTAAATGTCAATGAGCCTCACAATGCCACAATTTAAACCAAGAAGATAGTTATATAAAAAAAAATTAATGCCATATAAATATGAAAAATTGCGGAAAATTTTCACATCACAAAATTTTGGTCTGGGCATGATTTTGATATATGATGATGTTTTTCTCCTGCAATTTTCCATTCCCTATAACTTGGCGTTTTTTCTTGCTTTTTTTTTTCCATAATTGTGATCAGGGCATGATTTTGATCGTTCAAGGATGTCAAAATTTTCTTTGGTAGTGTTACTACAATGTCAACTTTTTTAATAGAATCTTTGATCTAAATATCAAAATTGTGGTCAAGAACAAGACAACTACAAGTAGCGACTCCTCTTTAGTCTTCAAAAGCAACGTCCAGTTTTAGTTTTTACTCTAACCTCACTGTGGAGGAAGCCGCTTGAAGTGCACATCCATTTGTTTTTGCCTAACGACATTAATCATTGCCCTCAGGTTAACATCAATGGGGAGAACTCCATGGGCGATTTGGCCCTTTATGTTAGTACTCCTCTGGTCCTTAATATAAGATCCATTTAACTAATTTGATTAGATTAAGAAAGTTAGATAAGTTGGTTAATTATAAGAAAAGTGACACATTTTTCCTAAAACATCATAATCATCTTTCTTAATACCCCATCTTCCTCTTCTACTTAATTATAGTTGAGAAAGTATCCAGAGGGGTAATTTAGAGAAAATTGATAAATATGAGAAATGGGTCTTATATTTAGGATCAAAACCAACTCAAGAATTGGGCCCTATATTAAGGACCGGAGGAGTATGTTACAACGAGACAACATTGTTTCACTGCCCCAATATATAATATAAGAGCTAATTAACTAATTTGAGTATATTAAAAAAGTTAGTTAAATTAGTTATATATAATAAATAGGTATTGTCTTCCCTAAAATACCCTTGCTAATTATATGTACTGGTTAGAAATATCATTTGATGAAATCTTTAACATGTATAACTACTACAAGGACTACTTTGAAAAAAATAGATAAATATAAGAGACAAAGCAAATTGAAGTCTTATATTTAAGACCAAATTAAAAGTCAAACTAGCTCTTATATTAAGGATCAAAAGTAATATTATACTAACTCTCATTCTTAACATAGGAGTTGAATAACTGATTTGTAAATAGTATTAAAAAAAATTAGTTAAGATAGTTATCTGTAACAAATATATTTTGATTTTCTTAAAATATCATCTTTAATCATATCCATTGGAATTACCCCTTAATTAGAAAACTCATTAATATGTGTAATTAATAAGAATATTTTGATCAAAAAAATTATAAATCTAGGAGGTAAAATAGATCAAGGTCTTAAATGTAAAATAAAAATAAACTCCTTGTCTAATTTTTATATTTAGGACCAAAGCAGTTGCGGCTTACATTAGGTGGGGATGAGTAATAAAAGCTCAACAATTAGACCAAAATTATAGCATGGGCTAATATGACCTACATCAAGATATAAATAATTGAATTACGAAAATTAAAAAGCAGATTAGAATTAATTAAAGGCAAAAAAATGTATTTTATTTTTCAGATATATCCTTGTTTATGAAGAGATAGTACCATAATGCAATGATATCAAGGGTTCAACGGGGAAAAATGAAAAAAGTTCGTTAAAATTTGTCACCTGTAAGTATATTTTACAAAGAGGATCGTGCATGACTACCTCAAACAATATCCTATATATAGGCAACAAAGCTATTGCATGAGAAAACCAAGGCATGTTTATTATTAGTTATTTATTACTACCTCTGGTCCTAATTATAATTATAAAAGTCAGTTGACTAATTTGAGAAAATTAAGGAAGTAAATTAAATTAGTTATTTGTCCTAAATAAATGTTGTTTTTCCTAAAATATCCTTACTAACCAAGTGTATTGACTAGACCTATCATTGTTAGAAGGGCTACTTTGAAAAAAAAATGTATAAATATGAGAGACAAAGTGGATTGGGGTTTTATATTTAGGACTAAAATAAAAGTCAAACAGGGTCTTATATTAAGGACCGGAGGTAGTATTAGTTAAACTAATTCATTATTTATAAATATTACTCCTCCGATCCTAAATATAAAACCATTTTTATAGTGTAAATATTAATAGTCTTATATTTAGGACAGAGAAATACATAATATACTACGGTTTTTTTTTTTTTTGTGACAAGAGAGGCTAATGCCTAACGACAAAAAATAAACACAAAAACAGACTACACGTGTCTAAAAGCCCCAATTCCTAAGGCATCCCTGTGTAACGCTTCAGCTATATCGACAGGGGGTTGACTCCAAACAAGTCTCTTGCACGCTTGTTTGCTGCTCAAGTTCGCCAGAAGGTCTGCGACTTGATTTCCTTCTCTCTATATATGCATGAATTTGATTTCCCAGTTTCTCAGAATAATTTCTTCGATCCTGCTCGAGATGAGGTAACACCCCGAGATCCTGCCATTCCGATTCAGTTCTGTGACTAGAGGCGCGTCATCGCTTTCAACCTCCACTTTCTTGAATCCTAACTCCCAGCATAGTATGAGTCCTTCCAAAACCCCCCATGCTTCTGCCTCTCTTGCTGTGTTAGCGTTTAGTTTTACTGAGAAACCCCTTATCCACTCTCCTTGGTCCCCTCGGATCACACCTCCACAACCTACTACTCCTCTTCGTCTAAGCATCCCATCTGTGTTCAGTTTGCACCTTCGTCTTCTCGGTGGCAACCATCTTACTAGTCTGAGTTCTTGTTCTTTTCGCTGCGTATCCTCGCCGTTCCATCTGCTCATATTCTCGCCGTTCCATCTGCTCATATAATTCCTGTGGTACTGTTTGACGAAAAGCTCGGTGTTGCTCGATACATCTGCTTCTTTTCCATGAAGACGTGGATTCCTCCATCTCCAAATTGCCCAGCACCCTGTAGCAAAAATCTTAGGCCAAAGAACATAATCTTGATTTCTTGCATGATTTCCAATGTTATTTTCTAGCCAGTCTCGCCATTGGCTTGAGAAAAATACGCTTCTCTTCTCTTCCGGTACCAGTTTATTCCATATAGACCGAGCCCACACACAGTCTCTTAAGGCATGTAACCCATCCTCTACTTGCCCTCGGCAAAATCGACATTCCCCGTTACTTTCGTCCCATCTTCTAGAGATGCTTGCAGTGGTTAACCTGTTGTGTCCTGCAATCCATATAAAGGTTCTAATTCTTTCTGGGACTTGTAACTTCCACAACTCCTTCCAGAACTTGCTCCTCACTCCTTCGTGCCCCCCTTTCAGCCACCTATAAGCACTTATCATGGTAAATTCACCGTTTCCAGTGAGCTTCCACTTCAAGCAATCACGTTCCAACTCCCTCCTTCGTGGTGGAATGGAGTTTGCTATTTTTTCCAGAATCCTTCTTGGTAGCCACTGTTGTATACCAGTAAGACACCAATTTCCTTCCTCATCCACCAAGTCGCTGACTCTTAGATTCAGGTCAATATTTGAATCTGTTGATAAATATGAGCTTAAATTACCCTCTCCACTTAACCACTTATCTGTCCACACATTGGTATTGCATCCACTTTTGATTTCCACCATCACCACCTCCTGGAAGGTGTCCACCATTTTGACCAAGTCTTTCCATAGCTTGGAGTCATAGTTCTTTGCCACCAATTCATTGTTGCTTCTCTCTCTCCCCCCATATTTTGCTTTGACTACTTTAACCCATAGTTCATTTGGACAAGTACTAATTTTCCACAGCAATTTAAGTAAAAAGGCTTCGTTCATA